CTACAAAGGCCACGGGGCCCCTCCTGAAGACAGGCAGGCACTTCAGCACCAGGACAAGCCTGGAAAGGTCCCCTTCTCTCCATCACGGGGACGAGGAAGTTCCAGTACATGCTCCAGGTGACACTGCTGGGCTCAAGCAGCCCAAGGTGGAGGCGGGGGTGGGGCCAGGGAGCCATGGAGCTGGCCAGGGCCACACAAGCCACATGTGCTCATCAGGCCTGGAGACCACGCCAGCTTCTTCCATGGAGGGCCACAAACGCAGGCCCGGCCTGAGGGCACAGAGGGGCTCTCAGCCAGCTTGTGGCAGCATTGCCCACGCCCCCAAATGCCTCCTGCATGGCCACTATGACAGCAGCCCCCAGCTGCCCATCCTTCAGCCTGGTCCTGGCCTGCAGCCTTGTAACCCCGGGAGTCTGGGATGTCACTGAACACAGCTGGACCCCAGACAGGACTGAGGAAAGCCTGGGACGGGGCTTCTGGCCTCGCTCCTGTGCTCTGGGGCCCCAGGCACTACGGGACAGGTAAGGGGTAAGCAACGCGCCCCCCGCAGCAGGACGGGGAGGGAGGAGGGCAGGTGTCCCGCCTCGGCTACCTTCCTCGCTGCTCTCCTTGGGGCCTGTCTCCTCCAGCCCCAACCCGAAGAGATCTGAGTCATTCTTCAGTCTGAAGGAGGGGACGGGGGCCTTTAGGGGCAGGGGTGGCTGGGCAGGGCTGCCTTCCTCGTCCGTCACATCTGAGAGGTCCTCTCGCACTGGGAACTCACCCTGAAAGGAGGAGCAGGCAGGTTGGCCGCCATGCCCCCAGCAGCTGTCTCTGGACCCTCAGGGCAGCCCCCTTGTTTCTCCAGCAGGTGCTGAGCACCGTCATGAACCCATCTAGAGTGATAATGGCCTGAGCGTGGCGGCTGTGACACCATGGTGACGCCAAGGTGATAGGCTTGGCCTGGCATACAGAGCCCCTCTGGGGTCACACAGGCTGACTTCAACTTTAGCTCTGCGAGACCCCCACTGCATTCTCATACTTTCACTTTCTGCCCCCGACACTTTTACTGGGCTTTGAGACAGTGGGCACCAAGGTCGGTCCTCACCACTCTCCGCTGGGCATCTGAGTCGCTCTCAAAGTCAGGGTCATCCATGACAAAGGAAAGCATCTGGGCGGCGATGGGCCCTTCAGGGTCACTCTCTGACGATGCCACCTGCTGGTCCTTCCCCTCCTCGCGCCCTTGGGAGGTGCCCTCGGTGGGGGCTTCGGTGCCACCTGGCCAGCGGGGCTCTGCAGCCCCGGGAGCTGTGCCCCTGTGTGGCCTCGAAGCCTTGGTGGAGGACCTGCAGGACAAACGGGGGTCACGAGTCCAGCCCTCTGCCCCCAGGGTACCCCTTGCCTGACCCCCAACTTACGGTTTGGTCTCTGGCTCAGAGCACTTCTTGGGGGCCAGCACAGTGGCCTTGGGGTGCCCCGCCTCCTCCTCTGCTTCCTCCTCACTGGACAGAGCAATGTGTTCCCTAGGGAGGGAGCCCATGGGCGGCTGGAGCCTGCCTGGGGGCTGGTCTTCAAGGTCCACGTCATCCTGGAAACCTGCTACCATGGGGTTTCCGCCTGGGGCCTCCTCATCACTGCAAAGGAGGGCAGGGTGGGCAGAGGTCACGAGGAGGTGACAGAATGCCTATCCTGACCTCTGGCACCTCTGGCACCAAATGTGGGGCTGCCTCCGCCCTGGGTACTCACGTTCATCTGGTCACAGCGAAGGGGGACCCCATTTGAGGGTGGTCCTGGGGACGGACCCCCCCAGTCGCAGCAGCAGAGCTGCAGCACAGAGGTGAGTGGGGGAGGAGGCATGAAGTGGGGCCAAGGAGAGGGATAGAGACACCCACTGGTGTGGACATCTGAAGTGGGTACCATCCTGCAGGGTGGTGGGGTGAAGGGTGTGGGCCCCACGGGTGGTGATGGGCTCTGGGGGAGGAGCACGGTGCATCTCTAGAGAGACGGTGAGGACGGGGATGCGTGGAGCAGGGCTGACCGGGGCCTGGCTGTGCAGGGAGAGTGTGCAGGCGGGGGGCCAGCAGGCCCAGAAACTGACACCAGACTCCAGGCCTAAAGCTCTCTCCCGCCCTGACTGGCCACCCCCTGGAGAGAAAACCTGGCCCTGGGGCTCCTGCCCTCACCTTGCCAGGCTCTCAAGTGGCAGCAGCCTGAGACCTCGGGGGGGGGGGAAGAGTGCTGACAGGCAGCGGGACCGAGTCCCCACGCCCCGGAGCTGCGAGCAGACCGCCGTGTCCTGGGCTGGCCTGACGTTTCTCTGAACTGCAGTCAGACTGTGGCTGGGATCCCTGCCCCCCTCGCAGGCGTCAGGCTTGCAGAACCTCGAGGCCCGGCCCATGGCTGGCAGTCCCGGGCCAGCTGGTGTCCCCCGTCCAAGCCTTCCTTCAGCTCCCCAGCTACCCCAGCCCTGCTTTTGCTCCCAGGGCCCGGAGGCAGCGCTGGGCTGCGGGACGCCTGCCCGCTCTGCTTGCCCAGCACCAGGAGAGGCAGCAGGGCCCGCAGCCGAGGCCCTGCCCTGACCTGTCGCTGTCTGGTGGGGCCTTGGCTCCCACTTTCTTCTCGTCCTTCAGGGGGCCTGTGTCCTCCAGGAAGCTGCGGTCAAGGCCATCTTCAGGAATAAAATCCTCCACGTTCTGGACTCTTGCTGGGGCCTCCGCAGCTGGGACTGGCTCTGTGGACCAGACACCAGCACTCGCTCAGTGCCCACCGAAGCCGGGCGGTCCCAGGGGGAGCTCACAGGGCTGGGCCGTGAGCAGGGTGGTGTGGGGCTGCTCACCCAGGAGCAAGAAGGGGGACCCCTTCCCAGTCCACGAAGGCTCTGGGACCAGGGACGCAGTGCCACTCCCCACCTGGGATGCCTGCACTCACCTCCCAGGGCTGCTCCCAGGGCCTACCTGGGGGCAGAGGGGCTGCCTCGGCGGCTGGCGTGGTCCCAAACAGCCGCGAGATAATGCTGCGCCGTGGAGGTGGGGCAGGGGCCACGGGGTGTGCGGGGGGCAGTGGGGCCTCCGAGGGGGATGGGGGTGATGGGCAGGCCGAGGGGGCGTGGACGGGCGGCTGTGGTGCCGGCTGGGGTGTGCTGGGACTGGAGCTCCCCGTGGACACTGCACTTGGAGGCACCACAGGGGACTGGGAGCCCGAGGACGGGCTCTGCCCGTTGGTGGCCAGCGGGGACACGTGGCCACGGCTGCGTGCCTCCATCATCTCGAGGAAGCTGAGGGGAAACAGGGCAAGGGGTGAGAAAGCCGCCTTCCCTGCATCTCTTCCTCTGCGGCTCCTCGGAGGCTTCTGTTGGGGTGCTGATGGTGATGAGGTCCCTGCCCTCAGGCTCAGAGCCCTTCCCCACAACCAAAGGCCTCTGCCTGCCCTTCAAGGTTTCCCAGCACAGGCTGGCAGGGAACAAGCCCGGGGGCACCTCCGTCTGGGGTGACCGTGCACACGCAGACCGGCTGGCTGGGGAGTGACCGTGCACATGCAGAACGGCTGGGTGTCCTGGCTGCTTTTTAGGCACAGGCACTGGCAACACGAAGAAAGGGTGTCCTGGGAGGGGAGGGGGGAGGTGTGTGCGTGTGTGTGGCAGGCTTTGCCCCCATTTGTTACCTAGGCCTGAAGGGAGCTTTCAAACAAGTTCTGGAATGGAGACCTTGTAAGTGTGGATCATGGCAACACCCCTGCCGAGTCCCCAGCAGCACTGCCTTCTTCCCGTGGCCTGGCCCCTGGAGGCTGGCTATGGGCAGGCGAGCCTCGAGAGGTCCCTGCCATCTCCCCAGGGACCATGTGGTCAGTGGCACCAGGTGTCCAAGGTCTCAGGCAGAGACCTGGTACCCCGCCAGGGCCATCCTGGCAGCCGGAGTGGCTGAAAACACCCTCCCCCAGAGTGACTCCTGCCGCTCCCTCTCTCACTGTTCCAGAACCAACAGCTGAAGCTGGCTCTGGGGAGACCCGAAGGCCCTGCCTGGCTGGGCCCCAGGCCAGGAGCACAGGTAGGGAAGCAGCTTGCCCCCACCCTCAGCTCTGACATCTAGGTAATTCAACAGAACAAAGGAAACACCTGTTTTTAACGGTAGTTCGGGGTTATAACTTCCCCCTACAAGTGAGTGCTTCTGCTAGGAGCTGCGGCACAGACGGGCTGCCACCTGCTCCGGGAGTCCTGCTGGAAGTGTGCAGGCGCAGCCAGGACAACACGCCCTCCCTCCCTCCCTCCTGCCAAGGACCAGAGGTTTAGCTTCCTCCCAAGGTCCTGGAGGTCTCTACACTGGCGTCAGTCCGGGAAACTGCGGTCAAAATAGGGATGAGGCCTCGGCTGGAAAATGTCAGGGCAGCTGGCCTAGCTGGGGCCTCGGGTGGACATACGGCTTGGGTCAGCAGCTCCCTGCACCACATGCCGGGTGGCCAGCAGGCGAGGCTGGTCTGGACAGAGGATGGTTGGAGGCAGGCAATCGGAGTGTCAGTGTCTGCACCGGGCCCACGTGCCCGCACCCCCACCCCCAGCCAGGTGGCTGCCTGGGGGCAGCGGCTGCAAAACTGTTTCTGGTGGCCTGAGGGTCTCACTGTGCCCCAGTTACACCCAATCACAGCAGCAAAGCGCTCAGTGGGCAGGGGTAGCGGGACCTGGGGGGTCTGCCCTGCCCCCATCCTCAGGGAGAGTCAGCAGGAACCCAGGATCTGCTTCTCAAGGAAGGGCTGCAGGCAGGGCGCACAGCGAGGGCCACCCTCACCCCCTCCCCTCCCATGGGGTGGGGGCCACATCCAAGGCTGAAACAACCAGACCTCTTTAAGCAGCACGACTCATCCCAATAGAGGGATCTACCCGGGCGGGGCGGCATTCCCACTGCTCCCCGGCTAGGCACAGGCCCAGGCTCAGGACCTCCAGCCTGGCCCCCAGGGCACACTTGCCACCTTTCCGGCAGAGCCCTGCCTGCAGGTCTAACCTCCAAGGGCAGGCCCCTGAGGCCGACGTACATGTCGTAGTTCTGGTCCTCCGTCTCCTGCTGCACCGACAGCTCCTCCAGCGTGGCGTCGATGTCCAGCTGGTTTGTCTCCAGCTGCCGCAGCAGCGTCTCCCGCTGCAGGAAGGAAGCAGACCCCTGAGCAAGGAACGTCACCACAGAGGGCTGCCCCTTCAGTCTTGTGGTCCCATTCAGCCAGCCTCTGACCAACAAGGGCTCATGGGGCCGAGCTGCAAGAGTTCGGAGCTCCCGGTGTTGCCCAGGCGGCCAGCATGATGCCCCAGCCACTCCGTGGGGCTCCAAGGGCAGATGCTGTGCTGTGAGCAGACCACCCAGGGACAGCGCCCTGGTCACACAGGTGCCCCTGAGGTTTAAGAGGCCTCAGTGCTTGCTGAAAATGCCTTCCTGCGTCTCCGGGACCAGCCGGGGTGCGCACGCGCCTCAGCTTTGGGGCTCGGACCTCACGTGCGCCTCAGCACAGCTTCCAACAGTGGGATGTCCTGTGGTCCCACATGCGATGCGAGGGGCTGTCGGTCGCCGCCCCGCACCCACACCAGGGGGGCTTTCCTTGCAATCTCTGTGTACATTGTACTTGGATAAAAAGTTAAAGGGATCCTTAGAGCAATGCAGAGGGACACCCAGGGTCCCAAGGGAAGGACTGGGTGGAGGGTGCGGCACGTGTCTGCGAGGGCTGGATGCACTGAAAATGCCCGCTGCCCCATGTCTCTCCAAGAGGACAAGAGGAAAGGAGAAATGACTGTGCCCCCGAGCGGGCTCCGTGTCCTGGAGAAAGGACAGAAACCACTGGGGCTATAGGAGGGCCCTAGGTCAACACCCCAGTGACTAGCTGTGTGGGTGACACGTGTCCCCGCTTGTGACAAGCAGGGCGGTTGGTCTGTGGTCTTGTGCCTGAAATGCCATCACCCACCTAAGACCAGACAGACCCTGAGTCAGGCACGTTTTGGGGCTGTCACAGCCCAGCGCAGAGGGCCGGCGAGAGGGCCCACCAACCCCGGGTCTGTGGTCTTGACGGAGGCACTGTGGAAACACGAGACCCTGAGACTAGGGGAACCGAGCCAGGGCCCGAGAATCCTGTCACTTCTCTGCAGCCTTCCTGTCAGTCTAAGACCACTCCAAGACAAAAGGGCCACTGGAACAACAGAAAGCTGCAGACCAGGTGGGAGGAGAGACTTCTCGAGCTCATTGCTTCCGCTCCTGCCAGGCTGGGGCCAATCCACAGCAGGGACACAGTGGCCCGGCCACAAGGGGGATCAGACGGGCCCTGTGCTGGGGCTGCGCACACATCTGCGGTGAAGATGGACCGGCGCAGGGGCCAGTGAAGCTCCAGGCAGGGGCCAGCGCAGAGGCGGGGGGTCACAGTGCCCACTGGTCCGGGTCAACGGTCCTCAGACCGAGAAGGACATGCAAGGACCCCTGTGTCCCCTTGTGCTGGTCTAGGTCTCCGGCCAGCCTGGCAGGGCCCTAACTGGTGGCCCCGCCCCCCATGCCACGCCGCGCCGGCAGGCCTCACAGGCGGGCGCACCTGAAGCTGCAGGAACGGAATGTTGAAGAACCTGTGCAGGTACTTCAGGCCGAAGCTGTTCTTCATGGACGACTCGGCGTAGCGGAAGTAAGAGGAGCCCGGAGGCCTGTTTGCCAAGAGGACAAAGACACAAGGGACGGGGTGGCAGGGCCAGCACCGCACGCAGGCCGGGCCGTCTCCTGCAGGCGCTCCCCTCAGCTGGTGCCCACCAGGTGATGCTGGGGCTGGGCTGATGTGCCCCCATCCGCCCCAGCAGGACCCCGCTGTGCCACGCCCGACCCTGGCTCTGGCCTGAGGCATGGAGGGAGGCCGCTCCACCTGGCACCTGGGGCTGCTCAGTGCGGGGAAGCCAGTACCCAACCCCTGCCCCGCCCTCCCTCCAGCTCGGCGCCCCCTCCCTGAGCTTACCCCCACGCCCTCCATCTCAGCCTGGGCCTCCCCAGCCTCCGCAGGTCCTGCCAGCATGGACCGGAGGGCCGGGTGTGGGTAGCACAGGGAAGCTGGGGGTGGGTCAGAGGGCTGGGGGGACACGGGGTTGTGTAGCCGGGCGGGGCCAGGGCTCGAGGCAGAGGAGGGCCCAGGCGGGAGTGCCCAGGCAGACAGGCTGAATGGCCGGGCACCCACCTGTCCAGGTGGTCGATGAGGTCGCGCACATCGTCGGGCAGGATGACCCGGTGCTCACCCATGTCGCGGTAGTTCCCCAGCACGCACACCGGCACGTGCGTCGGCACTTTGGGAAGCTCCCGGAGGATGTAGTTGAAGGTCCTCAGGAGGCGCATGTGGGGGGAAGACGAGCCTTAGCTTTGGCCTGACACCTCTGCCCACCCCCACAGCCTTGGGGAAGTGTGTGGGCGCCCGGATCAGCACCCCACCAGCACCCTCCCGTGTGAGAATCAGGGGACCACGCAGTGGGTGCTCTTGGACGCTGCAGATCCTCCCGCCACCACATCCCACAAAACAGCCTTTGGTTCTGCCTCCTGACACATGTCCTCCCTCGATCTGTCTCTACAGCCCAGGGCTCTGCTCTCAGTGGGTGTGGGGCTCACACCTGTCTCCCCATCAGCATGAGTGTGTGGGAGAGCCAGATACAGCAGCGCTGCGTCTGCAGCCTGAGTTTCCTCCTATTCACACGCAGTGCTTTACTACCCTCAGAAGGGCCGAGCGTGTCTGCCACCTGTCCTGGGGGAGTCTCCTGCCCCTGCCGCCAGCTGCACTCAGACACCAGCTGCTGTGCCAATGGCTGTGTCGGTGGCGCCCCCCTGCTTTCCTTTTGAGTGACGGGGCTCTAGATCATGTCTGCACCGCCTCCCGCCCCACCAGAACTGAGTACCGGGTGTCCAGGGTCCTGGGATCCAAGAAGCTGCCCAGCCCCCAGCCCAGGACCACCTGCCCACTGGACACCAGCCCCTGGGCCTCACAGCTCCAGGAGCCTCACAGGCACCTGTGATCCCGCTCTCCCCATGGGGTCCTCCTGGCCTTCGGCTCACAGCTCGTCTAGCCGAGGCTACAGGGACATGAGGCCGACATGACCACTAACAGTGCCCAGGCCAGACTCCACCTAGAAACAGCCCTGCCCACCCCCACCCCCGTGGAAGCCGAGGCGGCGGGACTGCTGCGTCTCACAGGTGTGAGCTCGCCAGGCCCCACCCTCCTCCTCCAAGTGGTCCACAGCCTCCCGGAGGCCTCCCAGGTGCGCTGGTGGGCAGCCCACTGCGCGTCCCTGCAGGCGGGAGGGCGGGCGTGGGGCCCCGTGGGCTGGGGCCGAGGCTGGTGCAGCTGTGACAGATCCCTGGGACCCGAGTCCCTGACAGGAACCCTAGGGCTGGCGTGTGAATGTGTAGATCTACCAGCCCAGCGGAGGCGTGAATGCATCCTGAACAAAGGCGTGCGCGGCTACAGCTCAGTGTCAGAGCAACACCCAGAAGAGAGCCTGGCTAGCCCCCACAGTAGTTTCTGGTGACAGGATGGGTTTTCCTGTGAGCACCGGTGACCCAAGCAGTAATAGTAATACAACTTAAGCAAACTTCGCTGGCCACTCCCAGAACAAGCCATGGGCTCCGCCCTCAGCATCCTTCAGGACTCCCATTTTCGGTGGTGTGCAGGCCTGAGACTGCTGTCCCAGGAAGGCTGGTCCACAAGGCTGGCCCTTGGCTGGTCTGGGAGTAGGGGGCCCGGGCCCGGGCAGCGGGTCTCCAGCCATGTGACTCAGGGCTCGGTGGAGAGGACCCTGGGTGCCGGTGAGGCTGTCTGCACACCCGCCCGCACCACTCCCCTGCTGACCCTGCTCTGCAGCCTCCACTGCGGTGGACATAGGTGTGTCCTGCTGGCAAATCCAAGAGCGTGGGGGTCCTGGGAACCCTCAACTCATGGGAGCCACTTGCTGATGCCACACTTTAGACGGATGTTTGCAAGAAGGGCTGCGGGGCCATGGAAGGCGAGGGCCTCACCCACCCCGACCTGGCCCCAGATACACATGCTGAGACGCCAGGACCTCCAGGCCGGGGTTCTGTGCGGCCGGACAGCCAGCGTGCACCGCCCGTGGCTGGCCCTCCAGAAGCCCTGGGCACCATCACTGACGCCGGCACAACCACCACCGTGGGCCTAGTGGGCGGCGTGGTGCCGGGAGCCGGGCCTCACCACTGCTTGGTGATGTCGAACATCATGACCACCCCGCTGCAGTTCTTGTACACATCCAGGAACTCGGCGTCCAGGGCCATCTCGGACTCTGCCTGGGGACAGGGGGGACCGGGCATGAGACGGTGCTCCGGGCTGGGCCCCTCGGGTGAGCACCCTGTCTCCTGGAAAAGGCTGAACAGGGCTCTGATAACTGAAAAGACAACAGTTAGTTTCATTTTGGAAAAAAAGAAAAATGTAAACGCAACATCGTCTAGCGTGGAGGACACACTGTGCCTGCCCTCTCCCTGGGGTCCCTGCGCCACCGAGGTCGGCAGCACCCTGCCCTCAGGGCTCGCAGACTCTCCACCGCGGGCGCACATGCCGGAGCAGGCACGCTGGGGCGGCTGCAGGGCTGGGGGCAGTGGAGACATATGCCCCAAAAGGGCCAGCGGCCACTGAACCTTCCTGTCCTAAGCGGGAGCCTGTCCGTGGACAGGAGAGAAGGGTCCTTGGAGACCGAGAGAAAGCCCCTCAGACGGGCAGGAAGCAGTGGCAGCACAAGAAGTGCCCTGCCGGAGCCACACCGGAAGGCGGGGCCTGTGCTTTGAAGGGCCGGGGCCTCTGTAACATGGACACAAAATTCGGCCAGTTCGCCCAAACACCTGCCACCCCATCTCCGTGTGGCGTCTGGCACATGTGGCAGCAGCTCAACCCAGTCACCCTGCAACGCGACAAGGGCAGCCCAGGGTGGCCCTGGGTCCACTAGCACCACTGGGGGCCCCCGGGAGGGCCAGGCCGGCAGGCGGCGGGGTCTGAAGGGCGGGGCCCGCTCACCCCGCCCCACCATCGCGGGCCACATGGGAACAGACACTGCTTACCTCCTGGGGGTCATTCTCCATCTTCAAGCCGTCGCCTCGCTTCTTGCATTTTCCTTAAGCAAAGAGACCAAGTCACGGGGCGGAGATGCTGGGCAAGGAATGCCTGAGTGGGGGGCAGCCCCCCCTCCAGCAGACGCCTTGCTCAGCAGCGCTGGAGCCCCAGAGCTGCGCCTTCTCAGCCGGCACCGCGGCAGCCCCATGGGAGGCAGGACGCGGCCCCCCCCGGGAGGCCTCCCACGCAGTTCCAGATGCGGTGCTTCCTTCCCAGACTGACAAGGACCCCGCCCTGGGCCAGCCCTACCCAGCCTTCGAGGCCGTGGAGGGCCCCTGAGCCGGTGCCCAGGATGGATGAGCTGGGCTCGGGGGTAAGAACCTGGTGCCATCACCGTCCCCCCCTTCGTCTCAGGTGCTGAGTGAGGAGGAAGGGCTGTGTCACCCTGCGAGTCCCAGAGAGACAGCAGGCCAAGACAAACACCCAAACAAACAGGAGTTTATGAAAAAGCCGACCTATGAGGACAGGCGGACGAGGGCGGACAGCGCGCGTGTCACAGAACAACGGCAGCGCAACAGAGAAAAAGCACATTAACAAAAAGACACAACTTACCTTTGTCAACGACATCCCAGACTTCAACTTTCACGATGTCGTCGGTGGCTGAAGTAAGGGGAAAGAGTAAGATCAGCCCCCAACGCGAGCACCTGCTTCACTAAGATGGGCTCCCAGGGGCGGTGCGGATGTCGCCGCCCCCACCCCGCGCCGCCCCCAGGGGCATGCTCCCGCCTGCCCAGGATGCCCCTCCCTGCAGCGCAGTGGGGCCTGGCTCCTCCCTGGGCTTCTGCTCAGGTC